TTTTTTTTTTTTTTTTTTTTTTTACTCTGGAGTCAAGAAAGTTCTCTGAAAACACATTTATGCAAAGCAACTTCCAGGAAGCCTTACCTCAGCCAAAATGATTGGAAAGATGGATTTGCTTTTACAGTTTTTTTTTTTTTTTGCAGAAAGGCCAAATTCTTGTTTTATGTCCACTTTGATAAATATGAAGAGACTTGGAAGCATTCATGTCAAGTGGGATGGGAAGATTGGTTTATTTTGGTGCAGCTTAAAGATCCTCTGCATAGCTCTCCCATCATCCACATTTTCACAAAACTTTCAAAGTCCCCTCACCAGCTTTCTTCTAATCATAGTTTATTGAAAATATTTCTTTAGTGAAACAAGATATATATATATTTTTGAGCATGTGTCCATCTGCTAATTCACTTCCCAAATGGCAGCCCTGGCTTGGAATAGGCCAGGCTGAAGCTAGGACTGGGAGCCAGGAGCTCCAGCCTGACCCCTCCTCCCCTTGTGGACGTAGGGGACAAGCACTTGGGCCATTCCTCCTCTGCGTTCCCATGTGCACTAGCAGGCAGCTGGATTGGAATTGGAGCAGCCAGGACTCTAAAGGTGCTCACAGGATGCTGGTGTCACAGCTGGTGACTTAAGATGCCCTGCCACAATGCTGGACTTGGAAGGCTGTTTCCAGGCCAGGGATCCTCGTGCAGGATGCGCTAGTATCTGCTAACTCTGTGTCTGCTAATGGGACACAGTGGTTAGGACCCTTAACCCTGCATGGAGGTCGAAATTTTTTCTTTAATGGAAAGTTCAGAGCATAAATGTTGTTCATTGCTAAGAATGAGAAAAGAAGCACTTTCAGTACATGGGAGGGTGTGTCCTTGGCTGTTTAGACCACTACAGAACAAATAATGGAGGCTAATTTTAGTGGATGGTATCACATAGGAATTTAACTTATAGAAAATAAGCAATTGATCAAAAAGAAAAATAAGGCAATCATTGACATGAAGCTGGAGGCTCCCACTGAATCCGCTCGCGAAAGTGGCTGCGGATGTCACACCTGTTTTCTTTGTAAGCCTGGAGCATGGCTCCAACACTTCAAAGAATACTGCGCACGGCTATCTGCTGTGGCTGATGCTCAGCCAGTGTCACATCTTCCAATACTGCAAAGGTTAGCAGGATGGCATGAGATGGGCAAGGTGTCAAGCATGGTGTCCCCTGATGGATGGGGTCCAAGATGCAGTTCAATGACCTTCAAAGCTCATCTCCTGGCCCTGGCCTGAGAACCTCACCTGCACATGAAACAAAGCTCTGCTGTACTCCCACGGTCACCTGAGAAGTTCACATTTGTGGTAGAAAACACCTGGCTCCCTTGTACCCAAGCTTTGCAATTGGCTTTATTGCTTAAAAAAAAAAATTCTACAGGCAGGGTTCAGTATGATGGCTCAATAGGCTAATCCTCCACCTCCAAGCACTAGCATCCCATATGGGCACAGGTTCATGTCCTGGTTCTATTTCCAATCCGGCTTCCTGCTTGTGGCCTGGGAAAGCAGTAGAGGAGGGCTCAAAGACTCAGGACCCTGTACCCATGTGGGAGACAAGAAAGAGGCTCCTAGCTCCTGGCTTCAGATCAGCTCAACTTCAGTTGTTGTGACCATTTGGGGAATAAAACAGTGGATGGATGATCTTTCTGTCTGTCGGTCCTCCGTGTAAAGCTGTATTTTCAATGAAAAATCTTTAAGAAAAAAAAATTCTGCAGACAATTCTGCTCATGAGGAGGAAGTAAGGGGAAACTTACACAAGTATGTGTATATATGTGTGTGTGTATGTGTGTGTGTGTGTGTGTGTGTGTGTGTGTGTATGAGACAGACCAGCTGACTGACTGACAAACCTTCCCAGGGAAACAGCAAGAGCTAAAGCTTCCTGCAGGTCTCCTTGGTGTGCCATTCTGCTATACTAGAACTAAATATTTGGTCTCCATGCCTGGTTCCTGAGCTGCCAGCACCCTAGTGGATAAGGCTGCTGGAGGACCTTGTTCCGACATCTGGTCTCTGACCCCAGTTCCTGCTACAGGGCTTACACGTCCCTTGGCATTTCCTGGCGGCAGGCTCATCTCTAATGTTCTAATGAAGTGGCTCCTGGGTAGTAGTCTCAGGGTAGGGGCTGATGGCATGGGGAGCCAGTCTGTGACCAGAGTTGGGACTCTGTCTTCTTCCTGCCCTCCAGGGAAGGCAGCAGTTCACTTCAGACTGCATTCCTGGACGAAACTCAAAAGTCCCACCTCTCGGTGGACGTCGTCTCGACCCAGGCCTCGTGTTCCTAGCTTCTCAAGTGGGAGTCCCTGCTGCCTCCCTGTGCGTCTCTCCATGAGGTGGTACCTTCATGCCCTGTCTTTGCATGGGGTGAGGTCTTGTGGGGAATTGATCTTTGAAAGCCAAATGATCCACTGGAAACTAGCCCCCAATAGATGGTGTCGCAGCAGTCAGTGTGGTCTTTGTGCTATTTTTGGTTTTGATTCTCTCTGTTGTAAAAACACGAGTTAGTTGTTGTGCAAATCAGGAACTCCTAGATGTTAAGCTCCTTCTGCAAAGCGTGCCGCATGCGGTAATCATTGGAGTGGAACGGTAGCTGCTTCTTTAAAACAGTGCTCCATCCTTCATCACCTTCCCCAGCAGTCCCTGTTGTCCTGTAGGGTTCATGCATGGGATTTCTCTTTCTGACCCCTGCAATCCTTGCACTCTGTGACCCTGGGTCCTGGCCCATCATCCCATCTGCTTGTAAAGAAATCCCAGTTAGCTTTACAACATGCACTACTTTATTTGCCTTTGTAACTGGCTGTCCTAGAGGGAACACCGACTTAGACAAGGGTGGTGGGGACAGGGTGGCTGTGAGAGAATTACTAACTGGAGTTTAAATCCTGTCTTCCTTACCTAACTCACCATGGCCTGACCTCTCTGAGCCTCCATGCTCCCATCTACAAGATGGGAATAACAGCACTTTTTGGCGTGGTGGTGGCCATCTGTTGATGAAGCTGTGGATGGTGCCTGCCACGTGGCAAGGTCTGTGTCTGTGTCACCTGCTATTATTAACCCCACTTCACTCCAACACTGATCTGGGCAGTGTGTATTTTCACAAGCTCCCAGGAGTTCAGCCAAGAGAAGCCTTGGCCTCCTTCCCTGGAAACACTGGCCTTGGAGCTTGGCTCCTGAGTGCAACACCTTGAACTCCATTTAATGGCGTCGTAACTTCTCAGGTCCTTTCTCAGTAACGTTGATGATGCAGTCAGAGAATTAGTCATTGCTGTCTATATTTTTGTGCACTAAGCTAAGGGCCAAACTGCACACGTTCTGTAGGCCACCTGATAAACCTTCATCGGAATGGATGAGCCCAAACCCCATATTGTGGTGGAGGAAACTGAGGCTTGGGGAGCAGTTATGCAGTGAGCAGGCTGAGAACTCTGGTGCCAAATCTGCAGCACGGACTCCACTCTCCACAGCCTCTTGTACATCTGCGGGCCTGCACCCTACGCCGCCTTTACATAAAGGCAGGCGTGTCCTCATCTGTTCCCCCACTACCTCTCCCTCCCAACGTCAGTGTCCTCCAACTGCCATCCCTTAAGTGACATATCCTCAAAGCAAGGAAGCCTGAGTTTGTTTTGATGTTGTGGTCTCCCTTTTTCTGTGACCTCGACAACGTCACCTGTTCTTCCCATATAGTGCTTCCTGCTTGGGCATCTCCCCTTCCTTCCATGTCCTCTGGATTGCTAGGGTTCTGGCTCGTCGGGAAGGAAGTTGATCTGCTGTGACATCTGCTGCTCGAGGGATTGCCAAGTTGGGTTGGCTGCTTGGGCAGCCAGAGGGTGTCTGCTTCCTTCCTCTTTGGTTGACTAAACCACGTGGGTTCGGCTTTCTGCGCTCAGCCCTTGGATCGGAGGCAGTAGAAGTAGCTGTCGTGCTCTAGTGGCAAGCTAGAGGATTTCTCAGCACTCCTGCCTGTCAGACCAGGAGTTAATGTGGAAAGGCAGAGATGGATCTGGGGGCTCTAGGGACTCCTAGGCTGTCTGAATATGAATTAATGCAGCGAATCACTTCACAGACTATATGGTAAGGCTCTACACTTGCGTGGAACCATGTGCCAGGCTTTAGTCAATTGTGTACCTGAGTGACATTTGTCACCACTGCTGGGCGGAGGCTGTGAAGGGCACATGTGAGAGATGCGCATTTAGTGCACCTGTAAGGTTACCACCTGGTTCTCATATCTGAGTGCTTGGGTTCGAGTCCCAGCTCCACTTCTGACTGCAGCTTCCTGCTAATGGGCGCCCCAGGAGGCAACAGTGATGCCCCAAGTATTCAGTTCCTCACCTCCCACTTGAGAGACAAATACTGATATCCTGGCTGAGAGCTCCAGCCTAGCTCAGCCCCACCTGTTAAAAGCATTTAGGAAGTGAGCTAGGAAATGGGAGATGGCTTTTCTCTGTCTCTCCAATGTTTCAGAAAGCTTCAAGGGGAGGGTGGGAGGGGAAAAGCCCATGTGGAATTCTGTTGTTTTCCTCTGCTGCCTCTGCTTTAGGCAGAGGACACCTCATGTTCAAGATCAGAGGGTGGGAAACTGCTGTCCAGTCAAAATACCTGCTGTCGAAAACAACATTTGACTGAAGCACAGCCATGCTTGCTCATGCAGTTATTATCGGAGGCTACTTTTGTGCTAAAATGGAAGGGCTCAATAGTTGCTACCAAGATCATACAGCCTGCGAGGCCTAAAATGCTTGCTACCTGGCCCTAGGTGGAAAAACTGGGTTGGTTTCTATTCTAGATAGATCAATTAAGAGATGGTGCCGTTTTGAGTAGCCTTCAACCCCAAATGAATTTCTGGAGGAGCAACCTTCCCCAGCCTGCAAGGCCCAGGTAATCAAAGCATGCAAGGCCCGTCAGTTTGGGTTGTTGGTGACTGGCACGGAATCTAAGCTTCCTAATGGAGCCCCAGGCATTTGCCACTGTGAGGGATTCAGAGCAGCTACTTACTTCCTTGTGAAGTGAACGGCACATGAGATGCCAATGATGAGAAGGCCGATGATGATGGAGGCGATGGCCACCCACTTGGCGTTCCGCCCCAGCCGCTTGGCTCCTTCGAAGTCTCCTTCGTTGTAGCTGTTCTGAGACTGGGGACACAGAGGGAGAGATGGTGATGACCGAGTACCCCAAGACTGCCATGGGCAGGTGTGTGTATTGCACTGTCTTGATGAAAAGACCCCAAGATGCCTGTGAGAGGACTTTGCTCGTGTCCAGGCCAGGCTGATGCGCAAGCAGCCTGGTGTCGGCACCTCTGGGAAGGCCTCCCAGACTCCCACACCAGTGTTGCCTGAAGCTGTTCATCTTAGTGTCCGCTGTGACATATGAAAGTGCCTGGCTTTTAAGTTTTCCGTCTAGGCTGTAAGTGCTGCACGGGGAGGGACACCTGGCTATCTCATCCAGCATGGTAGATGCTGGCATTTGGGTTTGGTTTATTCCCTATAGATCCATGTTTGGGAGCTTGGTCTCTGCTGTGGCAGTTGGGGTGACTGTGGGGTCTGGGGGCGGGGTTCCTTGTTGGAAGTGAAAGGTAATGTTTGCACCACCCTTGGGTGGTTCTCAGAGTCCTAAAGCCCGTTGCATGTGTCTGCTCCAGACCCTACCTGATACAAGTGCCATGCCCTTGAACCAGAAAAACCATGAGCTAAACAGACATTCTTTCTTCATACGGGTCCTGTCTCGGTATTCCATCACTACAGCAAAAGAGCTGACTGATACAATATACTTGACATAATACTTGTCATGTAGGAGATACTTGACAGATATTTGCAGAATGAACGGACAAATGCGTGTTTCTCATGTCTACTAGAGTAGCAGTTTGCAAACTGCCTACCAGCGAACGCATCATGGGATGACCCATGGTTGAGCTTGCTGCCAGTTTGAGTGAAAATAGTTCCCTTGCAGCATGGCCATACTGACTGGTTTGCTAGTCTCTGTGGCTTCTATTTTGCTACCAAGACAGAACTGAGCAATGGGGACAAACACTGCAGGACCTGCCAAGTCTGAAATCTTTGTGATTTGCTCATCTATAGAAACACGTGCCTAGTCCTGCACTTCAAGGTCAATCCATTGAGATCAGAAACCTTGTTTATCTCTGTGCCCAAGCCTAGGTTGTCACCCAGTTGGTACCTAATGATACGACTTCCTCAACTGCGATGGCACTTCTGTGCTGGCTGATAAACAGTGGCTTTTCTGTGTTTTTTTCTCCTTTTCCCAACGTCCAGCTGCTCTTGGTCTGTGCTCTGAATCTCTAGATTCTCCCATGACCTGGCATCTGAAGTGTTTTTTATTGGCCTCAGCAGACCATCCTTCCTCACTCTGGGGCTAAGTATGTAAGCATTCTCCTTCTCACTGGTTCTTTGGGTGGTGCCTGGTACCTGGTAGGAGTTTGACAGATACGTGCCAAGTGAGTGACTCAGTTTCCCTGCAGAATGTGTGTGCCTAGCATGTAGAGCGGCAGTCCCTGGGACCTGACCTAGGGCCATCCAAAGGGCAGGCATCCAGGCCATCTTGCTGCCTGGCTGGAGGTGAAATGCTGCTTTTCTTACAGCAGGTCCACTTTCTTGGCCTGCTCTCATCTCTCCAATTGGAAACCCTGTAGCTGTTAAACATGAATTTCTTATCCTAATGGCCGCCATCACCCAACTTTGAACTTGACTACTCTGGATACTTATTTAAATGGGCTTGTACTGTTTGTCCTTATGTGACCGGCTGCCTTTGCTGAGCATTGTATCCTCAAGTTTCATCCAGGTTACAGCACATGTCAGAATTTCCTCTTTTTGTAACTGACAAAAATGTTTTGAGACAGAGAGGGATGTGTGAGACAGAGGGAGAAGCAGAGAGTGAAAGATGAACAGCATGTCCCCATCTGCTGGCTCACTCCTCCGATCCCCACTCCGACTGCGGTTGGGCCAGGGTTGAAGCCTGGAACTCAATCCAGGTCTCCTATGTGGGTGGCAGAAACACAGCTACTTGACCCATCCCTGCTGCTTCCCCGGATCTGCGCTGGGAGGAAGGTGGAGTCACGAGCTACGGTAGCACATTGAACCCATGCACTCTGTGACATACAGGCCACCTAACCACCCGGCCAAATATTTGCTTGATTCTGTCTCCTTAAGGGCGAATACATCTTTTCTGAGGTGCTCAGGAGTTGATGCGTGTCAGATGGTTCACCTGGAAGCAGTACTTGGTATATATATTCAGGAAGCCTTGCCTTGCTTGTATTCCAAAGCTGGGATACTGAGAATGCAATACAATCATGCTGCTTCAGACTCTTCGGCAACTCTTTAAGAGGCCTTGCTAATCAGAGAACAGAACATTGGCCTCTCTCATGCTGAGCTGTGGGGGAATCTAGTTTAGAGTTATGCAGACGCAGATCCTCCACAATTGGTCCTTATTCTATTAGGCTACTTTGGAAAACAGTTCGGAGATGAGTCATGGTCATTGCTGTGTTGGTATCACCAGGGGCAAAATAATGAGATGCCTTCTCTTCCCAAAGGGTAGCAACTCTGGGCTCTTAGGATGAAAAACCAATTTCATGTTCTTAGCAACATTGACCAAAAAGTGGGCATGACAGCCAGTCTGTGCTGGGTTGCTGCATCTATCTGCCATCTGTGTGCACCGGCCACGAGCTCCGCCCAGATGCACTGTTTGAGTGATGTGATGTGCAGGTCAGCAGAGCTGTGCTGGGTGCCTGGCTGAAGGGGAGCTGGGTGGATACCCCGGCTGAGTCCTGCTCAGCCTCTGCCTGACACTGTGTGTGTGTGACCTTCATGTATGTGAACTGCCATCTCCCTAGGGCTCCACAGGGAGACCTTGAGTACATCCTGAGCTGCCTCTGCTGTGGACTCGAGAAGCCAATTTTATTGTCAAGCATAAGCTCTCCTCTCGCCAGGAGTCCCCTACTGAATCCCTTATCTGCTCTGGTTCTTAAGAAGAGGCTGTCCACGGGCAGATCTGGGTAAGTGGGAGGGGAGACTTCAAAACTCCGGCGTTTCATTCTGATGGACTTCATTGGCTGGGAGGGGGACGGAAGTAGAGAGGTTGATCTTGGACTTCCGGGTGCAGAAGTGACAATGATGTGGAAGAAATACTCCTGCCTGACATGTTGGCTGTAATTCTTTCCCTCTTCCAGTGGAGGGTCTCTTGGTGAGATGCGACAGATTCAAGTGGTGGAAATGCATTTTGGAGAAAAGGCAGGGCTTATAAATTTTTCCCTAAAGAGTTTGGTGTGCAAATGATCCCATCTGCAATGGAAGGAGTAGAAAGCCATGCGATGGCTGTGCATCTTTCAAAATGTATTTAGTCTTTGTTCCTGCAAACATCACGCATGTGATCTGTGAATGCGTGGGGCAGCCAAGCGCTGTGCAAACACATGCTCTTGCCCTAAGTATATTTCTCAAGGACAGCCCTCGTTAGCAGTTCGGCATGTTGGCTTCATGGTTTTTTTCCAAAAAAAAAAAAAAAACATGTGAAAGGAAAATGGTCTCTGCCTATTGCTTCCATTAAGACTCAGCATGTTATGAGTAACTGAGGAAGTGACAGCCATGTGTACCCCACTACAAACCCAGAATAATAGTCTGTCTTCTCTTCCCTCAAATATTAAAACCTTGAGAATTTCCCACAAATCTCAGCAAACACAGCTTCATCACTGATCCTGGCCAGGCAGGCTGCTGTCCAGGCTCCATCCTTCATGGGTACTGAAATCTTTCTCTCTCTCGAGATCCTTTCCATCGTTTTTACCATGAACGGACTAATCTAAAACTCTGGTAGCCCTGGCAACTTGGCATTTGTCTCCTTATAGACCTGGGCTTTGTTTTTTGGTTTGTTTGTGGGCCCTTCTGGAGTTGGACTCCTTAGGATGGCTCTTTATTTTTTCAAGTAAAACCCGTTTCTGGAACATTCTAAGTGGCTTGCACTCTGAATCTTGGATAAAAGAAGAATGATCACACGTAACCTTGACCGTGTGTCAGGGACAGTGTTCTGTGCTTCTCCAGGGTCACCTTGTTAGTCCTTACAGTGAGCCTATGAAGCAGTTGTGTTTCCATTTTACTGATGTGGAAACGGACGCATGGGAAGTTAAAATGATCTACCCTGGGGGTGGGCAGTTGGCACAAAGGTTTCGATGTCAGTTGAGATACCCACACCCAGAATTAGAGTCCAGCTCCTCTGTTTCCCAGCCAGCTTCGTGCTGTGTGTACCCTGGGACACAGCAGCTGATGGCTTGAGGACTTGGGACTTGGCCACCATATGGGAGACTCAGTTAAAATTCTGGGTTCCTGGTTTTGTCCCAGTGTTGCAGGTATTTACAGAGGATGGAAGCTCTTTCTGTCTCTGTTTCTCTACCTTTCAAATATAATCAAAATCATAAGAGTTTGCCCAAAAGTACATAGCTAGTTTGGTAATGTGTGTGTGTACATATTTAGACACATTCGTTTTCATTTTCTTTTGGTTAAAAATTATTAGCAGTGTTTGGGGGCTTGGTGTTGTGGCACAGCAAGTAAGGCTGCTGCCTGCAAAGCTGGCATACCATGCAGGTGCTGGTTTGTGTTCTGGCTGCTTCACTTTCTATCTGTATTCTTGCTAATGCCTGGGAAACGTAGCAGGAGATGGCCCAAGTGCCTGTGCCTATTGCCCATGGGGGAGACCGGGAAGAAGCCCCTGGTTCCTGGCTTTGGACTGACCCAACTTTGACCTCTGAAACCATCTGAGGAATGAACTAATAGATAGAAGATTTTGCTTTCTGTCTGTCACGGTAACTCTGACTTGCAAAAAATATTGGCAGTGTCTCACTATACTTTGGCATTGCTTTCTTCTACCTAGTTAACAGTGGGCCACCTTCCAGGCTAGTGCGTCTAACTCTGCCTCATTCCTGCTTTCTTTGTACATTCCTGATTAACAGAATGCGTTTTCCATTGAAAAGGCAGATTTAAAAAGAGAAAGATCTTCCATGTGCTGGTTCATGTCCCAGATGGCTGCAGTGGCCAGAGCCAAGCTGATCTGAAGCCAGGAGGCAGGAGCTTCCTCCAAGGTTCCCACATGGGTACAAGGTCCAAAAGCTTGGGGCCATCCTCAACTGCTTTCCAGGCCA